AAGGTGCTATACAAGTATAAGGTGTTAACAATGTCAACCATAGTTTAGTTGTTATTACTATCACATTCCTAAATATGACGGTTGTGGGTTCAAGTCACACCCCTGAGACATGAGGACAAAAACAGTTTAGATTGGCACTCCAGTGAAGTACTGAGTACGTGCTACAGTGTTGGAGGCGATACTTCTTCAGATGAAATGTTAAAAAATGTCCTGGTCTCCTCTCCTGGACATGAGGAGTACCACAGCATTATTCTGAAGAACACAGGGCAGTGACATGGCCAATACTTATTGCTCTGTCAACATCAATAAAATGAAACTGATTTCTTGATCATTATCATATTTCTCCTTCTTCTGGAATAAATTTTCGTGTGGATTTGAAAATAAGGAAGAGTGGCTGAAGGAAGCAAATAAATGAGAGGTCCTGGAAGCTGAGTATATCCACTTGTCATAGACATCGTGCACTTAGGAGGCAGTGAGGAAGAGCTGCTGAGAGAGGGAGCATGATCTGCATCTGGACAGTAATGCGCCCTTCCAGAGAGAGAGCCTGGCAGAGAATGATGTGAGAGTGGGAGAAAGAGTGCGAAAGAAAACAGAAGCCCCCGCCTGCACACAGATGAAGGAACCCCGAAGTGCATTTCCACGAACAGCAATATCTTCGTGGGTTAATCCATTCATTCATCAGTGACTCTATAAAGCTCATTCAAAGCACCTTCCAAACCTGTAGCCCCCTCCACCAACTGGAAGGATAAGGGCAGAAAAAGTATCGAACACTACAACCTGCAAGTTCCCCTCCAAGCCACGCACTATCCTCATTTGGAGCTATATTGATACTGCTTCACTGTCATGAAATCACACTTTGGAACTCCCCTCCAAGAAACACTGAGCATACATCTACTTTGGTTCCAAAGACGTCTCAGCCCCTTGAAGGTGGTCAGGGAAGGATAACAATGCCTGGCTTTGTCAATGCTGCTACATCTAATCAATGAGTCAAAGATATTGTACTGATCTAGACAGCAGTGTGGCAGAGCCATCAGCTTCAGAGCCAATATTGGATTTCCCAGTGTGGTAGAGTGCACACGTATAGCTGTCAAAGCATCCATTTGGCCATCATCAACAAAAAAGAACTGTATTTCTCCAGTACACTGCTGACTTGTGACCACCACTAACATGTCCTGCAGCTGTGCTTGGCAAACAAAGCAATCATTACACAGGCACTCTGATTTTCCTCAGCTTTTCTGTCTAGTTGCATATCTTCAAGTTTTGGATTCTTGGTGACAAAGGATATGGCCTCTGATATGTGAGAAATCGAAGGACAGATTCAAAGATGAGATGAAAATCTTGGGTAGGCAACCTGAGCAGGCTGTAAATTACGTGAAGACATGATTCAGATGCCTGGATCAATCTAATGTACCCGTTAATTTGCCTAAGTTGGAGTCTTGTAGATCATGGTGTCTGCTGTGATTTATAAAACTTGATGCTGCAAATGGCGAAGACATTGAGCAATGATAGAGTAAATTGTGAGAGCTCCTCTGATATGGAGAATGTGGGAGATGCTGATGATCAGCCAATACAGCAGGCAGCAGACAAGAACAATCTTCTGGAGGTTGACTGACCCTTACTACCTCATCGTTACAATATAATAAAGGTCCACCATCTTGATGCACTTAGCATTTCCTTTGTTTAAAATTTCCTGGTCTTGTGTCCACATAATCAATAGAAGCAGGAGGAGGCCATTTGTCATTGAATAAATTCATGGCTGAATTGTTTGTATTCTTAACTCCACTTTCCTGCCTGCCCTGTTGACCTGTGAATTCCTTATAGATCAAAACCCTGCCTACTCTGTCTCAAAAATCTGCTTGGAATATTTTCCATGACCCAACCACCACTGTTTACTGTGGATGAGAAATCCAAAGGTTGATAACCAACAGAGAAGAAATTATTTTTCTTTTTATTGTTAAGGAAGAGCCCACTTGGTATTTAACTCTGCCTCCTAATTCTAGAAACTCTCAAGGAGAAACATCATCTCAGCCTCTACTCTGTTGGGACAGATTTGGAATCTTATGTTTCAAAAAGATCACCACTCTTTTTTTAAACTAAACAAACTGCTCAATCTTTCCTCAAATGTCATCCCAGGAATCAGTCCACTTGAACGTTTCCTGAACTGCTTCCAATGCAAGTATATCCTTCGATAAGGAGGGAGGTTGAAATTGTCCATTGTGCTCCAGGTGCTGTCTCATCAATGACCAAAAACTTATCTACTATTTTGCTCCGCCTCCTTGCATTAAAAATATGGGCAATTCAGCCATCAGATGTGCAATGATCTATCACAAGCAGCATTTGAGGTGAGCCAAGTACTCCTGAAGTGACAGAGGGCTGCCAGTAAGGAAGGAGGGAGATGCAGTGAGCATTACAAAGTTAAACAGATACAAGAATAATTCCTTAACAATGTATCAATCATGAATCCCAAATGTAGCTGGTTGGTTTTCTTAATTCTCTTTCCCATGCTCCTATGTGATGCTTCTCCTTCACTGCTAGCTGCTATGGAGAAAGGCTGCGGAGCTTACTGTCCTGTATATTTACGTGACCTTAGTGACCAATCCTTAGCCATCTGAGGCCCAGAAGGCCTTGGCATCCTGAGGGGTTCCTGCAAAAATTTGGGAGTTCCACTATCACTGTGATTGCTTAATTATCATGAGCAGAGGAACCATTGCCCAGACGTGGAGCACCCAGTGAACAGTCCCAAAGACAGGATGTAGCCAGTTCTCCTCCCTTCTATGACACACCGGTACCCTGCACCACCACCACTCCCCATCACCCTACTGACCTGGGTAGTCTGAGGACTAGGTAGAGGCACCTCTCTTCTCTTTCTTTGCTGCTGCTGCATAGAGCTCATGGACAAAATGAAGGCATATCTGTCTCTGTAAGTCTCCAGCATCCACTAACTGGTTTGCTGCATGTAGCTTTCTGTGTATGAGTTATCAGTCTCTTGATGGAGGAGGCCACACATGCAGGCGAGAGAAAAAATAGCAGCCCCCATGGGCTGAACTGTCTCCTCTAGTGCTGGCCTAGCCCTTTCTTTGGCATTGTGAGCTTTCTTCTTCCCCACAAGAATAAATGTTGCTTTCCTGATTAAGATGGACACAGGGGCCAAATTCCCATTCAAATACCTAACACATGACCACTTTGAAACTGTCACCAGTGACAGATAAATGCCCATTGAGTGAAACGTAGTTATTCTTCTTACTGAACCTACTGCAGCATGAGTATTCCTTGTCAACCAACCTCACCATCACCAGTGCGAATTGCAAGCCCCTAAATGAAGTGGCAACTACACATATTGGTAAAATGAGCAAGGACATTCATGCACTTGCAGCACAGCAGCCAGTTCCTTTGGACAATCCCACAGCTAGTGACCTCGACTGCAGTCTTCATTTGGCTTGCTTGGTCAGTCAGTCCTTCTTCACCTGTGCCTATTAAAGTGAACTACCCACCCTGTCAGGGGATCCCAAGGAGAAACTGCACTGTGTTGTCTGTGAACCACCCAAGGTGTGAATCTTAGGGATTCAAGAGTTAGGAAGAGCAGACAAGAAAGTGGAGTAGAATCCCAATATCAGCCATGATTGTATTAAGTAGTGGTGCAGGCTTGACAAACTGTATAGCCTACTCCAGCTCCTATGTCCTCTCATTGCATGCATATGTCACTGAATAACGTGGCCATTTATTATTAATTGCAACAACTGAAGGACAGGTTGTTGTTGAGCCCCTCCCACCCCAGCCTCATCATCCCTGCCCATTCTTCTGGCGACTGATGGAGCAATTGACGCAAGATTGTTTACAATCAGTGAATCATCTTGTGAGGGGCAGCAACAGTGGCAACAGCAGTTGTTCCAAATGTCAGCAGTGGGACTTCAGACTTCCTGGAAAATCCATTTCAGGACAAAGACCTTTCATCACCATGACAGTAATGTTAGATATAAGGCTGAGGGTACGCTGCACCACAATATGCTGTTTTATATGTAATTGTTTCAATCCTGTTGGTGTATTTTGGGGTATTTATTTTAAAAAAACTAAATAGCTCACTATTTCCACATTGAATGTACTTGTTGACTTTTCTTCCAATTATTTGTTTTTAAAAGTTTGTTTTTGATCCAGTTTCTGCACAATCTCATTTGCGTATTGCTAAATGTGAAACCTGGTAATCGCCAATGCAGTTGGGCAACATTTGTGTTTTTTTTAAATTAAAAGTGTTCCTTGTTATTTTTAAGAGGGATAACTTGAAAGAGTTTACTAATACAACAGAAAATAATTCTGGTCACAAAAAAGATGATGTAAGCAAATTTGATTTAATATAACGAAATAACTTTAAAAATCTATACAAAGCCACTTACTCGTGATATCAGCATAAAGGAGTCACATTCTTGATAAGTCTTTAAATATTAAATATTATACTTAAATACTGCATTATATATTATTTTAAAATCAAATATTAAATCTTTTATTGTTAATACCTTAGAATTTAATATTTGGAAAAATCTCTACATGAAGAACCTCTTTGAAGGTTCTGAGCAGCTCCAATTAGTGTAAAATTACCATAGTGGTTAGTTTGAACCAAGGCCAACTTCACATGCAATATTACTCCATTACGTTAAGGCAAAAGATCATGGAAACTTGATTTGTACTGGAAATTCCTTGATCTTTTGTGCTGGCTTGGCCAAATTTGAACAAATTACATCTGAAATGGTTTTGTCCAACTTCTAATTGTCTTATTTTGTTTTACAAATTTACTGTGCATATGTTTGTACACATCAGTCTGATGCACCCAGTGACTAGCTGCAAAAAGAGGGAGTAGGTGTGGGAAACTTTGTTCTCCTGTTATATGTGGCCTTTGACCCATGTTACTACTTAATATAGCTCCTTGCTGGGTGTGTAGGATTGAACTATTAGAAGCTCTTCTTTTCTACCAAATGACGCAGTTGGTTTTGCTCTTCCTTAAAATTTAGATAAGAGTGCAAGATGTTCCCACTGCCTATTGTTACTCATATACAGATCCACATCTGATCACATTTGATGGCAGGTAATTTGCAATTACCTTTGTCATTTAAATTGCTTTCTTGTCTATTCTTAACTTGTGTTGCTCAATTTTCAAGTTGCCTCAGAGAACATACATTATCACAACAGGAATTGGTGGCTACCCTGTTGTCTTGTGCAAATGATATTCAATAGGAGAGCAGAATGGGGTGCACATGCTGGGTAATTTAGCTCCTCAAAACTGATAGATTTTGTTCAGGTGGGAGATTGAGTAGCTAACAAATCTGAAACAGGAACCCAACCAGCCTTGATCACTCACATTTCCAGTTCGAATTGAAGCAAGCTGAAGCATAGGCAAACAATTCACTCTAAGGGACAGGCGAGCTGTTGAAATGTTTTAACAGGGTCATGTCCCTCCATTTTAACAGCAATTCTGTTTTTAACCTTGGTCAACTTAAATTCCAAAGGCCTCGGTTAGCTCAACATGTCAACAAAGGCAAGAAAATGTGATCTATCAGGTAAATAGCTTTGCAGCGTGGCTTTGTGCCTGGAGGAACAGGAAGTTTCCCTTCAGACTCAACAAGGTTGTCTCTGAATACTCCAGTATCCCCTACATCCTACTGACACAATTTGAGCTTCCTCACCCATCCTTTGTTTAACCACTGTCTTCCTCTTTCCCCAGGTCGTACATACAATCACTTCTCCCAACTCACATACGTTATCTTTTCCTTGCCCCCCACATTAATTTTTCTGTCCTTGCTGCTTCACTAAGTCTGCTTTTCTGCTCTACATGGTTTAAAACTGTTAATCAGGTTGGTGCTTATGTGGAAAATAAGACGATAAGATGTCAGAGCATCAGTAGGCTATTCGACCTATCGAGTTTATTCTGCTATTCACTGTATCATGGCTGATCTGATAATCTGCATCTCAACCTCCTGCCTTTTTCCATAACCCTTGACTCTAATAATAATTTAAAAATCTATCCATCTCAGACCTTGCCTCAACAGCCCTCTGTGATAAAGAATTCACAAATTTATTACCCTCTAAGAGAGGAAATTTCTCCTCATCTCTGTCTTAAATTGGTGATATGTAATCTGATATGCTTTTTGGTCCTAGATTCTCCCACTAGAAGAAATAACATTTTCTCCATCTACCCTGTCACGTTCCCCCCTGAATCTTAGATTTTCAGTAAAGCCACCTCTCATTCTTCTAAACTCCAATGAGTACAGGCCTACTTGCTCCACCTCTTTTCATGAGAAAATGCTTGTATATACTTGGGATCAAAATAGTGAACCTTCTCTGGGCTACCTCCAATGCCAGAATGACTTTACTTAGAAAAGGGGCCCAAAACTGTTCACAGAATTCCAGGTGTGGTTTGCCTTCTATTTAGTTTTATCAAACCTCCCTATTTTCGTACTCTACATAGAACATAGAACAGTACAGCACAGTACAAGCCCTTCGGCGCACGATGTTGTGCCGAACTTTTGCCCTAATCCTAAGGTCTATGTAACCTCCACCCCTACCTTATACTATCATCCATATGGCTATCTAACTAAATGCCCCTAATGAGGCCGACTCCACTGCCCTCTCCGGCAATGCATTCCACGCCCCGACCACTCTCTGAGTAAAGAACCTACCTCTGACATCTCCCCTATATCTACCTCCACTCACTTTAAAACTATGTCCCCTCGTAATAGCTATCTTCACCCGAGGAAAAAGTCTCTGGCTGTCCACTCTATCTATACCTCTGATCATTTTGTACACCTCTATCAAGCCACCTCTCATCCTACGTCACTCTAAAGAGAAAAGCCCGAGCGCTCTCAACCTTTCCTCGTAAGACCTTCCCTCCATTCCAGGTAGCATCCTGCTAAATCTCCTCTGCACCTTTTCCGACGCTTCCACATCTTTCCTTTAATGAGGCGACCAGTACTGGACACAATACTCCAGATGTGGCCAAACCAGGCTTTTGTATAGCTGGAGCATAACTTCACGGCTCTTGAACTCAATCCCTCTATTAATGAAAGCTGACACACACCATACGCCTTCTTAACAACTCTATCCACCTGGGTGGTAGCTTTCAGGGAACTGTGGGCATGAACCCTGAGATCCCTCTGCTCCTCCACACTGCCAAGAATCTTTCCGTTCACCCTGTATTCTGCTTTCAAGTTTGTCCTTCCAAAATGTACTCTGTTGATTTTGAAATAAAGGCTAACATTCTGTTTGCATTCCTTGTTAGATATTGAACTTGTATGATAGCTTTTAGTGGTTTATACACAAAGACCACACCCACCCTGCTATAGCTTTCTGCAGTCTTTCTCCATTTAACTAATATTCAATTCCTTCAGCCCACTGGCCAGAGTGCATTACTGTACATTTTCACCACATTACCTTCGCTCTGCCAGGTTTTTGCTCACTGTCATAACCTGCCTGTAACTTGCTGTAGATTCTTGTGTTATCCTTAATACCTTCTTTATCACCTTTTTTTGAAGTATCCACAAATGTGGCTACAGTTCCCTCATCTGGATGTCAATCTGTGCTATTGATGGGGTGAATGCAGGCTACGGACGAATTGTGGGGGACCTTGGTGTTTAGAAAATCTTAAGGAAAATGCAAGAAGATGGGGAAACCCCTACTCTTGCACCCTCTTTTTGACGCAGTGGTAGTATGTCTAGCCCTGGACTGGGAGTTCTGGGTTCAAGTTGCACTAGCTCCAGAGGTGTGTCATAACATCTCTGAACGGGTTGATTAGGAAAATAGGTATATCTCTTACAATAGATGAAAATAATCAGAACAGATAATACTGACCTCTAATTTTACTTCTATTTTGATTTTCTACCCCTCTCTTTTCTCCAAATAAAAATGTCCTACTCCATGCCATTCTCCATTAAACAACAAAGAAGCCAATTAAAAAAAGGAATAATTTAACATCACATCATTTAGTGATAGTAAAGACAAAATGTGCAAATTATTCTAAAATGTGGGCCATTACTAAAAGGTGGTGTTTGCCCTCTATTTCACTGTTCATTCCTCATATTGAATTTCCACTAACTAATGATTTAAGTAATTGTTACAGATTTTGTGATGCCACTGAAATTGTTTATCTCCTCAACTAAAACAAATTGATAAATAATTCTTGCAGTTATGGAGTACTGATGTCGTGCTGTGTTGGGAGTGCTGTCTTTGGATGCGAAATTAAACTCTGCTGACTTGGCAGTTTGCGATAATAGATCCCATTGCACAATTTGAAGAAGATCATGATCATTTTCTTGATGTCACAAAAAGTTACTTATAAACTATTACCTTTTCTTCAAAATTTTATTCTAAACTTCCTTAAGTTGCTATAAAGCATTTTAAATAAAATATTTTAATTGCCACAAATTCTTTGACTGTGAAACCATAGTGAAAGAGAGTTAAGTGTGCCTTGTAAAATGTAACAGTTGATTAAATTAATTTGTAACAGTCCTAAATATGCTGTACAGTATGTATATAACTTTATTTATGGTTTATTGAATAGATACTGTCAAAATATTCCTATAAATATAAAATATTGCTATGACTATAATTTTCGTTTAGTTAATCTCATTTAATAAATTTGCAATATACCAAATTCTGTTGCTGTTGTTTCTAGTAACTGCAGCATATTTTCTTTACATCCCTAGACGTTACGATAATTATAAAACTGGAACGTTTATACTGTACAAGAGTATTGCCCGAGACTTTGAGGTGCATGTTCGTCAATGGGACTGTGGGAGTTCCCATTACCCAGCTTCCTGCAATTGTGGATTTGTAGCTAAAGAAGGAGGAGACATTATTTCTTTAGACATGTGTAATGGACAACTGCATGAAACCAGACCACATTTATCTGTGAAAAGTCAAGACATTACTGGTAACAATGTTAAAATCACTAAATCTTACCAAGGAAAGAAAATAACAGTAAGTATATTTCCTTTGTACTTTTTAAGGTTGTACAGTCTTATGTTCAATGAAGTTACAGTCAAGAAAAGCTCTATAGAAGGGTCACTGGACCTGAAACATTAATTCTGCTTTCTCTCCACAGAAGCTGCCAGATCTGAGTTTTTCCAAAAATTCAGTTTTTTCTTTCTGATTTCCAGTATCCTGAGTTCTTTTGGATTTAGTTAAGAAATTGCTGTTGATTATGTCGGTGGTCAAATACTTTATTAGCTGCATGACATCTTTTTGTTTTATGCATGTGTCAAATGATCTGTTTTAAGTTGCAATCTAAATGTAATTAATTTGGAAGAATGAACTCTCTAATTCATTCTATCAATTGAATTTCTAGAAACTTAATTTTTCTATTTACTTCTATTCCAAGCTTACTTTAAGATAAACATTAGTACATGTTCCAAAACAACCAATGTATCTTAGCTATCCAGCAAGAATAATATTTGTTGAATATATTATTTCACTATAAGTCATTTTGGTCAAAAATTCAGAGAGAGACAGTGTAAAATGAAAGGAACTACTCTCAAGAATGTGTAGGAGTGGAAGCTCTTGGTGTATAGGTGTATAATTTATTAACTGTGGCAGGACAGATGGAGACAGAGGGTGGTGGTAGAGGGTTGCTTTTCAGACTGGAGGCCTGTGACCAGTGGTGTGGCACAGGGATTGTTACTGGGTCCACTTTTGTTTGTCATTTATATAAATGATTTGGATGAGAATATAGGAAGCATGGTTAGTAAGTTTGCAGATGACACCAAAATTGATAGATGGTAGACGGTGAAGAAGGTTATCTAATATTACAAAGAAATCTTGATCAATTTGGTCAATGGGCTGAGTAGTGGAAAATGGAGTTTAATTTGGATAAATGTGAGGTATTGCATTTTGGTAATACAAACAAGGACAGGATTTATAGAATTAATGGTTGTGTAGTGTTGTAGAACAGAGAGTCCTAGGGATTCAGGTACATAATTCTTTGAAATTTGCATCACAGGTAGACAGGGTGGTTAAGAAGGTGTTTAGCATACTTACCCTCATTGTTCAGATCTTAAATATAAGAGTTAGGATGTTGTGTTGAGGTTGTACAGGATGTTGATGAGGCCTCTTCTGGAGCACTGTGTGTGTTTCTGGTTGCCCTGTTATAGGAGAGATATTATTAAACTGGAGCTGGTTCAGAAAAGATTTACCAGGATGTTGCTGGCATTGAAGGGTTTGAGATATGATAAACTGGAAAGACTGGAATATTTTTCACTGGAGAGTAGGAGGTGGAGGGGTGACCTTATGGAGGTTTATGAAATCATGAAGGGTATAGATAAAATGAATAGGATGAGTCTTTAGGAAGATGCGGGAGTTCAAAAGTTGGGTGCATATTTTTAAGGTGAGAGGAGAAAGATTTAAAAAGGACATGAGGGGCAACTTTTTTACAGACACAATAGTTCATATGTGAAATGAACTGCCAGAGAAAATGGTGTATGCAGGTACAGTTAGTGTTTAAAAGACTTTTGGATAAATTCATGAATAGGAAATATTTGGAGATATATGGCCCAAGCGCAGGCAGGTGGGACCAGTTTAGTTTGGGAACATGGTCGGTGTGGACTAGTTTGAACAAACTGACTGTTTCCATGCTGTATAACTCTGACTCTTGACTCTATGACATACAGCATCCAAGACTTTAGTATGGGCATAGAGTTCTCAAATGGAGAGGTCATGCTCAGTGTCATACTTAGGAAGTGATGAGAATGCATTGAACAGAGTGCACGAGAGGTTTACGAGATTATTTCAGGATTGAGAAATCTCATTTATGAAGATAAATTGCACATACAAACAAGGAATAACAGTAGGCTACTCAGTCCTTCAAGACTGCTCTGCCATTCACTACAATCATTGCTGATCTGATTTTAATCTCGACTCTACATTCCTACACATCCCTGATAATCTTTCATCCCCATGGTAATCTTGAATCTGTCAACCTCTGCCTTAAAAAAAAAGTAGTGATTCTACATCCACTGCTTTTTGAGGAAAGGAATTACAAAACTCTCTCTTACAGAAGAAAAATGTTTACTTATCTCTGACTTAAATGGGCACACCCATAGTTTTAAATTCCTCTACAAGAAGAAACACCCTTTCAAAGTCTATCTGGTCAAATCCCCTCAGGATCTTATAGGTTTCAATTAAATTACCTCTGACCCTTTTAAACTCCAGGCAATACAGGCATAGCCTGTCTAGTTTTTCCTATAAGGCAATCTGCTCATTCCAGGTATTAATCTTGTAAACTTTCTCTGAACTGCTTCCAAAGCATTACCATCCTTCTGTAAGTACAGTGACCAAGTACAGGACATAGTACTTCAGATGCAGTCTCACCAATGCCCTGTATAACTTAAGCTGTATCCTCCCTTCTCTTGCATTCTATTCCTCTCACAATGAAGCATAGCATGCTATAAGCTATCCTGCTGTACCTGCATAGTAACCATCTGTAGTTCATGCACTGGGACATCGAGACCTCTCTGTATCTCAGCAGAAGTTGGACTGCTTTCCTTGGAGAGAAGAAGCTAAGAGGAGATTTAATTAAAACTTTCAATGTCATGAGTGTTCTCAGCAAACTAGACAGTGTTAAATACTTTTGTTTAAAATATTAGTTGGCAGCTTCCAATCATATACTTCTCCAGTTAGTTTTATTTTAGTTCACACGTACACCAAAAACTGTGTTCTTTCCTCGCTTGCTTTATTTATACACACAACTCACACCCAATCAACCCTTAATTAATAGATATCTATCAGACTGATTAGAGATAGTCAACATGGCTTTGTGCATTGCAAATTGTGTCTCACTAACTTGATTGAGGTTTTTGAAGAAGTGACAAATAGGATTGATGAGGGCAGAGTGGTGGACGTAATGGTAGCAGAAAGGACTACAAATGCTGGAAGCTAGAGTTAAAAAATGTGGAGCTGGAAAGGCACAGCAGGTCAAACAGCATCCGGGGAGCAATAAAGTCAATGTTTCGGGTTGGCCAGGCCTGGAGAAGAGTTCCAACCCGGAACGTTGACTTCCCTGCTCCTCGGATGCTGTCTGACCTGCTGTGCTTTTCCAGCTCCACACGTTTTTTACTTTCTCATGGTAGACTGCTTAGCAAGGTTATATCACATGAAATGTGGGGAGAACTAGCCATTTAGAAACAGAACTGGCTCAAAAATAGAGGACAGTGGATAGTGGTGGGTTGCTTTTCAGACTGGAAGCCTGTGACCCAGCAGTGTGCCACAAGGATCGGTGCTGGGTTCACTGCTTTTTGTCATTTATATAAATGATTTGGATGTGAACATAGGAGATATGGTTAGTAAGTTTGTAGATGGCATCACAATTGGAGATGTAGTAGACAGCGAAGAACGTTACCTCAGAGTACAACGGGACCTTCATCAGATGGGCCAATAGGCTGAGGAGTAGCAGATCGAGTTTAATATAGATAAATGTGAGGTGCTGCATTTTGAAAAGGCAAATCAAGGCAGGCCTTATACACTTAATGGTAAGGTCCTAGGGAGTGTCGCTGAACAAAGAGACCTTTGAGTACAAGTTCGTAGTTCCTTGAAAGTGGACTCACGGGTAAACTGGTTGGTGAAGAAGGCGCAGCGTTTGGTATGCTTGCCTTATTAGTCAGTGCATTGAGTATAGGAGTTGGGAGGTCATGTTCCGGCTGTTCAGGACATTGGTTAGGCCACTTTTGGAATACTGTGTGCAATTTTGGTCTCCCTGCTATAGGAAGGATGTTGTGAAACTAGAAAGTGTTCAGAAAAAATTTACAAGGATGTTGCCAGAATTGGAGAGTTTGTGCTATAGGGAAAGGCTGAATAGGCTGGGGCTATTTTCTCTGGAGCGTCAGAGGCTGAGGGATGACTTTATATAGATGTTTATAAAATCATGAGAGGCATGGATAGGGTAAGCAGAGAAGGTCTTTTCCCAGGGTGGGGCAATCAAAAACTAGAGGGCATAGGTTTCTGTGGGGAAAGATTTAGACGGGCAAGATATGAAAGGAACCTAAGGGGCAACTTTGTCACACGGAGGGTGGTGTGTATATGGGATGAGATGCCAGACAAAGTGAGGCTGGTATTGTTACAACATTTAAAAGGTATCTGGGTTGGTATATGAATAGGAACGGTTTAGAGGAATATGGGCCAAATGCTGGCAAATTGATTTATCTAGGATATCTATGTCAGCATGGACGAGTTAGACCCCAAAGGGTCTGTTTCCATGCTATACATTTCTATGACTATGAGTGTATCTATTCCCTAGTTCCATTAGGTTTCAGTCACCCCTCTCAGATTGTACTGATATTAACAGATGGAGAAACTATTGACACTCCCAAAAATAGTAAGAGCAAGAGAACACATTTAAAGTGATTTGCCAAAGAAGTAAATAAAATGAGAGAAAATAAAACTTTTTCACACAGCAATTTGTTCAGGTCTGGAATGCATTGCACGGACATGTGGTGGAAACCAGTTCAATCAAAGCATTTAAAGAGCATTAGATGATTATTTGAAGATAAATAAATTTCAGAGCTGTAGAGAAAGGGTAGGAGGCTATTATAAAGGCATGCTGCACATTTGGAGATCTGGTATAGACACAATGGGCCAAATATTCTCCTTCTGTATTGTAACAATGTTATAATTCAATGAACAAAGCTGCTGGACTAGAGAAAGCAGGTCTGGTGGTAATAGGGCCAGAGGCGAATGGTAGGGATGGGAAGAGATGCTAACAAGGCTGGGGCCTGTGAGTGCTTGGCATTTCTCTGGTGCAGAGAGTTGCGTAAATGGATATATACTAACCCAGAAGTCCTGCTTCAAGCTTATTATTGTTAAAGAAACTATGCTTTTGAATCTCCTGTTGTAGAGGAAGAATGTAACAAAGGTAATCAAAATGCATGCAATTTCATTCATCTCATAAATAAATATAAAACCACTTTCCTGCCATATTCCACCAGTGCCCGGTGCTATTTGCCCTCCTCACTGATGGTATATAAGATGCATCTTGCTTTTGGTGCTCTCTACTTCTATTTAAGTCTGCTGGTCCTCCTCCCCCTGTAGTAGGGTCAAGAATGCTAGCCATCAGCATTCCCTATGTGAGGGAGCATGACTGAAGACATTCGCCCCCATTTGATGTAAGCATAAAGTTTAGCCTTGACAAGACTCCAAAGTCAGACTCCCTTATGTGCTTTGTTACAGCACTTGATTAGAGCCTGACTCCAGATTGATCAATGTTTATAAATAATACACCTTTATAGAACAAAACTGATATTTGCCTTAATTACAGTTATCTTTATAAAATTGGAGAGACTACATTAGGCTCTATTTACAACAATTAGAGATATAATTTAGTGTTGGTATGATCATGTAATTAGGATCAAACAGAGTCAATTAAGTACACCAAAATAATAACATTTGCTGCAATTTTATTTCTCCATGTAGATCACATTTTCATCTGGAGCATTTATCCGTGCTGATGTGAGTGAGTGGGGAGTGAGTTTAACACTTAGAGCACCAGGTGTAGACTTCCAAAGTACCAGAGGTCTTTGTGGCACATTTGATGGTGATATGAATAATGATTTTCATAATTCAGCTGAGCTCTTAATTCAAGAAAAGGTTGATAACCTTGATGGTTTCATTGAAAGTTGGAGGTATGCATAAATTTTAAATCTTCAGTATCAGTTGGTTGTTAATCTAATGGAGTACAATGCATGGCCTTTATAAAAGCCTTGCCCCCGTACTGTCAATGGAATAAAAATTAGATAATTCTATAATTATGATTTTGCTATGTGAATTATTCTTATTGTCTGATGGTTGTTACAAAACTGAGTTGGTTATGTACCAACCATCACTGAAACTGCAAATGCAGTTATGACTAAGCTTTTTATTAGTTTTTTTTCACTATTTTATACAACTGTATAAAGTCAAGAATGAACATGTTAAGGAAAAGTGTGTGTGAGAGAGAATTGAATACCATAAATTTAAACAATAAATCTTTGAAAATATATTTTAGTTAACTAAAATGTGAACCAATAGAACTAGCCAGTCAGTGTGCCAGATCTGTGAACAATGTGTAATGTTCTTTTTGATTGTACTCTTACAGAATACAGCCTGGAAAGAGTCTATTTGATAAAACACCACCCTTACCTGTTAATGTCAAAAGAAGATGTTACTGTAGTTGCAATACTGATTCAGTTGTGATGCAACAGCCTGCAAATAAACTTGATTTTTTTCCTCAATCTGGGGTTTCTTCAGCTTGCCTAAGCAGTGAAAATGTAAGATTTTCCAATTTGATACCAGTGCTGGATGTTACAGCAGAGTACATCAGTACTGTTGAACTGATTCGAGGAATCAGTCGACGCAATGCTCGAAGCAAATCTAGAATTGCCACTTTAAAAGATGTACATTATGCAAGTCTGAGTAAATTAAATCAAACCGTTCATTTTGCAAGGGTCTCCTATGTACATTCCAGAGAGCACAGAATGCTGAAAAAACAAGTGCTATCAAGGGAACACGTTAGAAGGAACAAACATAAAGACATCAGCTACAATCAAAAAAGGCATCTTAATAATAGGAGATGGAAACGGCAACATTATTATGAATACTTACCAACAGTCCTTTTTCAAAGCCTTACTCAGACAGACTTAGAGGGATTTAGTTACTTCTTTCCTGAGGATCATGCTTCTGAATTTCATCAAGAGATCTTGCCTACTTGGCCTACACCTTCTGGACTGACAGAAGCTATGGCTTCTGATTTATGCCAGCAGACTGTAACGAACTCCAGTATAGGTCGAGCCTGTGGAGAGTTACTGGGACAACGATTAATGGATGTAATAGATATTTGTATCTTGGATCTTCAGCTTAAAGATGACCTCAGTTGGACAAGCGGAGGTCTAAGTTTGTTAGAGAACGAATGTGAGAGGAAACTTCTGGAAGATGGGATCCATCATGACAGTGGCAATGGTGACTTGTCCAGTGTACCTCAGGATATTTTGTCAGCACTAAGGTGCCCCAGTTCTTGCAGTGCCAATGGCGAATGTACTGAGTGGGGTTGTACCTGTTTTTCAGGTTTCAGCAGCTCCGATTGCAGTGTTTTAGTCGGTAAGTATTGGGAAAAAAATATCTGAAGTTATCAAACTTTTCAATTGCATTTGCAGTCAATAGCACATCAGTTGAAGCCTTGTGTAGTTGTAAACAAGTAGAGTAAATCCTTGAGGCTATAGATTCTGTTCGTTGGTGAACAGAACAGAATAGTACAATATGGGGAGATACTGAGAAAAGAGGAGGTGTCTGCCCAAGAGGGAAGAGCCATCCAATTACAAATTACTTATTGTCATGACACCACTCCTTTCTCTCTGTTTCCCCACCTCTCACTTTGCTAATGATGAGAAAAAGGAATAAAGTATGTGTGTACTTGAAGAAAAACATTCAGTACATTCGTAGTTTGGAAATGGCTTACATACAACAAAATGTATGGTCTTGGAAGTTTCAAATTTTGCAGAGAGTACAATTTGATTTGCATTTTATGATATTGACATCAAAGATCAGCTTCCTGAAATCACAGAGTTGGAGAATTCTGGATTGTGTGATGTTCGACAGTTTGACTGTACCTCTGTGAGGGTCTTTGGCCAGTGGTTCACGGAGTCTGCAAGTTTAACGTGTGAAATCATCAAGCTGCAAGTAAGTAAAGTTACGGGATGAAGTCTATACTCAATAGTTAGACGAACGTAGGGCTGCTTTGTTAAACATCTTTCAATGTAAAGTTTTACAGGCATTTATAAGTTGAATGTGAGTGGTTTTTAAGATATTTAAAAAAGTAGAATGCCTGGAATGATGTAAGCATGCTCTTTGCTTTTTAAAAAAAACAACATGCCAAATTTGTTACAATCTTTGAATATTGTGCATTATATTGTAGCCATTGAGGCAGAACAATTTCCATGTTTGATCCAAGTTTAGACTTTTATTATTGATGTCAATTTTGCTATGTAGTTAACTCTATGTATTGAAAATATTAGTACGCTGACACCACAATTTCAGTTAATAAGGGCAAAATTCTGTGGATATTGGAAATATGAAATAAACACAAATTGCTGGAGAAACTCAGCAGGTCTGACAGCGTTTGTGGAAAGAGGAAAAAAGTTAACATTTCAAGTCAGGTATGACTTCAGAACTGAACAACTTGAATGTTACCTCTGTTTCTCTTTATGAATGCGGTAAGATCGAGGATTTTTTTACTAGTTCAGCTATCATAGTTGCTTTTAAGCAACCAGAAATGTTGGTGGATCAAAAAGGTAAAGTTTTCACCTTTCAGCCAAACAACACTGAATGGTAGAGTTCAGGAACATAAGCAGATACTTATTGTTGTCCTGGAATTGATCCAAAACTCAGTAGAACTCAACTAGCTTCAAAACCCATTGTCATTCTTTATATAAACTTTGCCTTTTCTACTGGTAAAATACATAGGTCAACGCAAATCAATGGGTGGTAGTGTATATCTCTGCCTTCTTGCCCTTGAAATCCAGTGCAGAGAATTATGGAGTTACATTTCCTTGACCTGCTGTAGTAATAGGTAACAAAGAAAGTTAACTTTGAAAGAATTGACTTTCTCAAGAATTTATCAACTCTGCTCCTCCACCAATTCATCTGCTTGCAGGTGAACAAGTTGCCAGTGGTATGCTTTTAGCCCCGTAAGTCAACGTATGGTTGAGTCTTGTCACTTCCATTAGAATAACAACACTAGAGAGATATAGTGTGGCCATTCACAAAACTTGTTGAATTGAGACAATGAATTTTTACTTTATTTACATGTATATTTTTGTGTCTGTTGCAAGAAGTCAATACTTTTAAAGGTCACTTGATTGTACATTGTTGGACGAATAAAATTTCATAAATCTCAAGTGCAAAGCTTCTGTTGAATATAAAACTTAGTAAGATACATTAAAAAAAATTATCTTTATTGAAGTTGCTTGATTTTATTTAACACCAGAATCACATTGTGTAGATGCGTAAAAGATAAAATATACATAGAAGTGCTACACATTTTTTATTTTTATCCAACTATCACATCAATGAAGATTGATTTATCATTATTAACTGATTTTCAAGTGCATAAAATTAACTCAAATAACAAACATCTTTACTTCAGCTATCAAATTAAATCTAACGTACAAAGTAACTAAATTAAGTTTTAATTTCCATTATGGCACCAGATGCAATTACAATTTTTAGATCAAAGGACTTAAATATACAATGGCTATTACAAGAGACAAGTCTAAGTGGGAATATAATGCTTCGAAATTCCCAGACAAGACCTTTTTGCTCTGTTTGCATGCGATATTGCTATAATATTTCACCTCCTTTTGGAGTTGGTGTTGCTCAAAATCCCTGCATATTATTAAGTCTGAGCCTTCAGTTATTGAAATGCAGACTGCCAACAGACCAGGAATATGGAGCATGGCTACTTTGCAACCTTAATTAGCCTACCACCACTTTAAAGCACAATGAAATAATCTGCAAAAGTATATCAAAGTGAAGAAAGTGAAATTGGGTGTGTATACGTAGAAATTTAAGGAGCTAGCTAGCATGAGTTCTGCTATGATTTTTAAAATTGTGTTGTCAAAATTAATGATGCATATTTTGATTTCTTTTATCTAATTGAGTATAGTACGTCAATGATGAATGGGTTCCAACTGTGTCGCAAACGACAAAGGCGACATTTTTGAGTAATCGAGCCGTGGACTGCCAGATTCCAGCTGAGATTGGTCAATCATTTGAAAGTATAGACCTCATTGATGACAAACCACTAGCAAGATGGCAAGTCAAGGTGTGAAACTTCAAATGTACAAATGCTGTCTACTAAAAATTATGATGAAACTGAGTCCTTGCAATTTCATGACGTAGGCTGTAGCAATCAAACTTCAGGAGTTTGGGGCCTACATAACTTCAGTTTTAATTTGAACACATTTGCATGACAGCTGCAGAAACTCATTTTTTTCTTTAACCTGTGGAAAACTTGTAAATATTACATATTCTACCATTTTAACTTCAGTACCTTTTTTTATTCTTTAAATTTAAGGATTTTCATCTTCTGTTGTCATATGAAGATAGAACCAAGCACAGGTGCCCAAAAAGTTACTCTCAGAACAGTAATAGTATAGTTCTGCAACAATATTTATTAAATTCTTTGGATCTACCGTTATTTCTGTGTGAAAGCAAAAACGGGTAGTAACAGATTTAAGCTCTCAATTTGAAATTTGAATGACTAAATCTTGTATCACAGTGTGAACCATCAAGCAGTAGCTTTCAACAATGCATAGTGAACCGTCACCTGGCAGGGCTGTTTTCTGAATTGAACAATTATTACCCACTTCCTATCTAATTAAGGACAGTGACTGGGTTCTTTGAAACTGTAGGACCAATAGGAGGTCCTCCAACTCAGGAGGAACTGTAGGCTGTCTTTTCAGGTATGAGAGAGAGAGAGAGAGGGTTCCTCCATCTCTGGTCACCTGCTGTTCTGCTTTTACACTTCTAAAAAAAAAATTGGCCGAAGTCCTCCATGGTGGCCTGTAGCTGCATGTATATAGCCACTTATGCTGTTAAAGCTTCAAAGACATCTGGAGCTCGGGACCCTCTGTCTGCTGTCAGGACACCATCTCCAACATTCAGACTGTTTGCAAACTGGGGAAAGGATGCAGGCCAATTAAAAAAAATGCCCGTTGCTCTCTGATAATTAACTTACCTGAATTGGCTACTTTCTTCTGTGGGCATGTAACTTTTCTGATGTAATCTGGTCTCCAGGAAATGGCTCCTTGCCATAAGAGGATGAAAATTCTGCCCTATAATGTAGTAGGTAATCTCTCTAGTTAGGAACAAATTACTGCAGATGCTGGAATCTGTACTGAAAACAACAAATGCTGGAGATCACAGTGGAGAGAGAGCAAGCTACCATTTCTAGTCTAGATGACTCTTCATGAGAGCTGAAGTGAAGCATGAAAGGGACAGCATTTATGCTACAGTTTGGGGGTCAGGTAGTGGGTGTAAGATGCTGATGGAGAAAAGATGTTGACAGTTCAGATTGAGTGATTGGAATGTGAGAATGGCAGAACAATGCTGTGTCTACCTGATAGAATTGAAAGGACAGACAGTCCCCACTGGGATGGATGATAACAAGCTAAAAGAAAGGTAAGAAATAGGAGCTAGTTCAGAATTTAAAGGTGTTGAACTCAATATTAAGTCCAGAAGGCTGTAAAGCACCTAGTCTGAAGCCGAGATGTTGTTCCTCCAGTTTGCGCTGTAATACACTGGAACATTGAGGTATGCTGAGGACAGACATGTGGGCACGCGAGCAGGACGCTGTGTTAAAATGACCAGCTATGGGAAGTTCAGGGTCACGCTTGTGCCCAGAACAGAAGTATTCCGCAAAGTGGTCACCCAGTCTGTGTTTGGTTTCTCCAATGTAGAGTAAGCCACGTTGGGTGCAGCGAATACAATACATAGCATTGGAGGAAGTTCAGGTGAAATGCTGCTTCACCTGGAAAGACTATTTAGGCCCTTGGATGGTAAGCAAGGGAGCAGGTGAAGGGGCAGGTCTTGCATCTGCTGCGGTTTCACGGGAAGGTCCTGTGGGAAGAGGGAGTCGTGTTGGTGGTTGTGGATTGGACTAGGGTGAACTGGAGGGAACGATCCCTGTGAAATGCATACAGGGGGACTGAGGGGAAGATGTGTTTGGTGGTGGCATTCTGCTGGGGTTGTCCGGAAGGGCAGAGAATGATCCTTTGAATGCGGAGGCTGGAGCGATGAAACGTGAGGACAAGGGGAACCTGATCACACTGTTGTGAGTGAATGGAAGGGGCAAAGGCGGAAGCACGTATGATAGGTTGGATGCGATTGAGGGCCTTGTGAACCCACAGTCATAGAAGAAGCGAGCCATCGCAGCAGCGCTGTTTTGGAAGGTGGCATCATCCGAACAGCTGCAACATAGGCAAAGAAACTGGGAGAATGGGATGGAGTCCTTGCAGGACGTGGGGTGTGATGAGCATGCTGCAGTGTTCTAGTGAATCACAGAGCGAACTGGATGAACAAAACCTCATCTTCAGACTGGCCGTTTTACAGCCTTCTGGACTTAGTATTGAGTTCAACACCTCTAAATTATGAACCAGCTCCTATTTCTTCCCTTTTCTTTCAGCTTATTATCATGTCCTCTCTCCCCTCCCCCCATCTTAGTGGGAACTGTCTGTCCTTTCAAGCCTGGCAGGAGACACACCATATTTCTGCCATTCTTGCATTCCGATCACTTAATCTGAACTGTCAACATCTTTTCTCCATCTGTACCCTGCACCCACTACCCTCAGCCCCCAAACTACAGCATAAATGCTGTCCCCTTCACACTTCATTTTAGCTCTGATGAAGAGTCATCTAAATGCAAAACGTTAGCTTGCTCTCTCTCCATGGATGCTGTCTGACCCGCTATGATCTCAGGTAATCTCTCTAGCTTTTCTTATACCAAGTCATAAGTATTTGATTGTACAGCTCCCATTTTATAGATGTGCAAGGACTCATTCTGTCCTAAAGGTTCAGTGCTCTCCAAATGCATCCAGATCACATGTCAGAAGTAGTAGCTCATTATGATATTTAAATAAGGGCCCCGTGTTGTTACTTGGAACCCTTTCATGAAATTAAGCTGCCCCAGTGTCTGAATTGGCATGCAACAAACATGCTCAACAATCATGGAACAATGACCCTGCAGCAACACTATATAAAGTGATTATCCACACAATTCAGACTCGTTGATGTTTTCTTTTGGGCTGTTGATGAGTTTATGAAAAAGAAGTTGTCTGTATAGTGCAGTGCACAAGGAGAAAACTAGGAATTGTATCCATTACAACTTTCCAAAGTACAAGATACTATAGATTACATCCATCTTATTCTGTGTTCTCCCTGCCTCCAGTCTAGCATTTCTTTTTGAAGTAGGAAATTATTCTAGTCTCTCAAAAACCAGGTTGTTTGTGAACTTTTTCTTTGGCAGTCCCTCAGGATTGAGAGTGATTTGCTTCCAATCCAGTTCACTGGGTTTTGAGATAGCTGATATGTTCAATTCACATTCTGCCAACTCTGCCATATCAGGACAACTGGTGCTTGAAGGATCAAGTGGACTAGTGCACTCTGTATGAAACCTTGATGTCACCTCTGCACGAATCTTTCAATGTATTTATTTGGTGCCTTCCTGCTTGAAACTTCACCATTTTGTTTCTCATAACCAAGTGCATTGAGAGGTGGCAGACATGTTTAACACCTCTTTAGGATACTTTGAGACATTCTATAGCACTTCATATGTACTCCAGGGGCATATCCTACCATAGCCAATTTCTGAATAGAGCAGTTCCTTTGAGGTCTACAATTTAGGCCTACAAATAAATGTTCTGCCCAGAAGAGCTGGTTTTGAGTAAGTAAGTCTTTGCTCCTAACCATGCTGGTTTGGGAGCAGATTCTGAAGAAGAACTGCTTTTCTTGCTCCTGGATTTGGAGGATCTTGCAAAGGCACAGTGAATACTATTTCTCGAGTGCTTTGTGGTGTCTTCAGTCTGTTGTTCAAGCTTCCAAAGTACGCAGGTGCTGTTTACTGCCCAGTAAACGATGACCTCATTCTTCTGTATGAAATTCTGGTGTTCAAATACTCTCTTCCTCAGCCAGCCAAAAGTTGAGTTGTCACATTGGAGGCGAGGATGAATTTTATTTCCTGTTCCTGCCTCCATCGAGAGCAGGTCCCAAGGTATGGAAAATAGTCTCCATTTTCCAGTACACCTCAGTTATTGCTCATCAATGGGAAGAGATGTGCTGGAGTAGGACCTTGACAGGAGTTTAATAAAAAGTCTGTTTTCTTATTCTTTGGAGAAAGAGTTTACAGTGACCTTCACCTTGGTTTCTGTATAAGCACACAGACAAGTCATCAACATACATAAGCTCAATAACTGGAGTTGAAATGAACTTGGTTTTTGATAGCTGATGATGTAAATGGGACAATTTCCTATCTGTTCTAATAATATATCTCCATACTTATGGGAAATTTCATAGATGAGGTGCAGTATTGGAATAAAGATAGAGAGGAAGGTTAGTGTGATTACAGAGCCTTGTTTGACCTAAGTTCTCACTGAAGTAGGGTCTATGGTCAGTGTTTTCATGAGAGTCATGTCTTGCATGATGACATGGAGTACCTGGAGGATTGGTGACAAATTTCTGAGAACGCCCAATTTGAGGAAGATGGTCCCTAAACTTCCATGGTTGAGAAAGACCATGGGCACTGGTGCTGTTCTTTTGAATTTTCTGTGATTTGTTGTGCAGGGGAAATCATTTCTCTGCTGCTTCTCAAGAGGTGACAAATGTACTGTGACTCAAAAGAGCTGTTCAACCACTGGGAGAAGATGATTACAGAGCTTCCTTGCAAAGATCCTCCCTGTAGCAGGCATCAGCGAAACTCATCTGTCTTCATCACAGTTGGACTTGTCTCCTATTCTCAATATGGTTATGATCACAGAATCCCTGAGATTACTTGACATGCACTCCAGTATCCAGTTGAGAGATATGAAGTTCTGTAGATAAGTCTTGGCATATTTTCTGTGTTCAGAATTTCGCCAGGGATTCAATTTACTCCAGTGCTTTGTTGCTTTTCAGTTGTCAGTTGGCATTTTCAACCTCTGAACCAGTATGTTACCATCATTATACCAGACCACCACAGTTCCTTGTGGTGGTGGATTACAGGCAATACGTCATGCAGGTCTGGAACATAGAGATAGGAGTAGACCATTCGGCTCCTCAAACCTGTTTTGT